GATTCTGGTTATTAGCCCTATATTGAATGTATAGCTTGTGAATGTTCTCTCCCATTCTGTATGTTGTCTGTTTGCTTTAATATGTGTTTTACCTCATAATTTGGTATAGAAAAGCATCTACTTTTAAACTCATAGGATCAAAGGGTAACTCCGAAGTCACAAATATGGGTGTACTTTGTTTTTGTGGTGGATATATTTTTAAAAGCTGCATGTGAAATGAATTATTTATAAATTCAAGTGTAAATTTCACAGCTTCCATTATAAAGTGAGCAATACTACAGTGCTAACAGACCTGCTTGATATTGCCAACCGTCTGACTCTCCCAGTCTTAGCTTACTGTCAGTCCTACTGGGGCTACATCCATTCTTGCCGAAACATGTTACCACCAGAGCCAAATGCACCACTGCAGGTAAACAAGATAATACTGTAAGTATTTGTGGCTGCAGAAGTAAGACAGTAGTGAAGATACTGTAATGTGTATTTTTGCTCATACTGACCTTGCAGTGTTAGCTGTTCCGGAGATGCTTTTGGCTCTGGTTCTGGTAATAGCCTGTTTGGCGCAAGAAGCATTGGCAGCAGATATGCTGTACATTGGGCAGGAGCAGCTTTGGATGATACGGGGAGGGCTCCAGTGCGGATACTTCTGGCAAACTGTAATCTTCCCAAGGTCAGGAACTGTATCCTCTCTTCTACATCTGTGTCTGTAGGCAAAGAATAGAGGCTAAAAATTTATTTATTATATACAATTTGGAATGCTTACATTAAACTGGTTGACATAGCCTTCACTTCACTTACTTAATTGTTGTGTTAAATCAGCACATTGTATCCCATAATTGCATTAATGTACACAGTTATGGTTTAAGAAAAAAAATAGTTGCATTGCACACACATGCACACACATACACACACAAAATAAAAGTTTATTTATTAAATGAATGAAGGAAGTATCACCAACAATGCAATTGCTGTCTTGGCTTGGACAGTGGCCAACCAGATGGTTATCTAGATTTCAGAAGCAGTTTTCACTGCACAGGTGGCCCAGGTCCAGAAAGGATTATGTAGGGCAAAGCAGAGGCATTTGCTGTGGACCACACTCGTACTATAGTAGCAAACTCTGTGATGGCTACAAGAAGAGGTTGTGAATTAGTGAATAGCAAACACCTTAATCATGAATCATGAACTGAGTACTGGCGAAACCCACCTGGAGTTCCTCATGGACTTGCAATCTCTAGTCTTGGAAGACAGAGGTTGTGACTCATGACCTCTTCTATGCCTGTGTGTATGATTCTAGATGAATCTGTCTGCCTGGATTCCGATAATGCTAAACATTCAACACAATAACCGTGGTCAGAATTAGAAATATACAACTATGGCAGAAGAGATGAAGTGAAACTACTGGGATGGAATAAATAAAACTTACATTTTTTTTTTTGGATTACTGTGGTTACATAAATTGTGGATCATGAAGTGAATTTCTTGCTGAATCATTCAGAACAATCATTTCTGAATTCTAATATATGTTCAGATCACTTGGCGATCTATTCAAAATGCAGATTCTGACTCACTAATATAGGGAAGTGGATTCTGTATTCCTCATCAGCTCTAGATTATGAGGCTACTGGACCAATCTTAGTAGCAAGGTTTACAATAACTGTACTGGTTTTCAAAGTTCACTTCACATTGAAATCATTCAAATACTAGGGAGTTTTAAAAGATACTGTTGCCTGGGTCTCCACTCTGGAAACTCTGGTTTAATTGGCAAGAGATGTTGCCCGAATGTGAGGATTTGTAAAAGCTGAGAGATTCTAATGTGCAGCTAACTTGGAGAATTGAGGTGCCAGGAGTGGTTTTATTTACTTTTGAGAAGAAATATTCATTTTTGGTATCTAATTCTGTATTTTTTACTTGCAGGTTGCAGCAATCTATAAGGACTCAAGTATTGGGAATCTTATAAACATAGTAATTGTAAAATTAATTGTAATTCACAATGAACAGGTAAGAAACAGGTCTAAAGTTGGTTTTACCAGTGATAGTCTTTTAGTGAAAATATATGTGTATATATATCATGAAACTCTTATTAATAAGAAATGAGATACATGAACAATCTACTTTAAAAAATGTGATTTGAGAAGGAGTGAAGATTGCTCTTTTCTCTTGTGATGGAAAGAAAACAGAATTTTAACAGGGTTTAACTGAGGCAAGGAAGTGACACAAATGAATAAACAATTTAAAAATCTAAGGTTAAAAAACATCCAAGTTTGTTAATTTTCAATATTG